GATCTAAGTAGCGCGTTAAACAATCAAATTTTTTAAGAAAATAAATACTTGGGCTTTATCAAAATATGGAGATGCGGCATCGACTTGCACCTAATTTTACATCAAGTTTTTCTTAAAGTACAGATAATTACCTACAAAATGAAAAAAAATCGTCTTGATACGATGAAAATTGACCGAGTTATGCGCATTTGAAAAATTGCAAAATTTCGATGAAAAATTTGTTGCGATAATTTTGTCGCGTAGTGTATATTCTGAATTCTAGAAAATTTAATACTTCAATCCAAAGTATTAAATTAAATATAAAATTCGATTTACTTATTATCTAGAATCGATGGAAGAGAACTATACCCTGATAGAAGGATTTCTGTAATGTCACACGAACATAACATTGAAACATTGAAACTATCGAAGTTACGTTGCGTAATGTTTCTGAGAAATCTCTGCAAGATTGCGGCAACGTCAAAATGTTCGCTCCTATCTGCAAGAAACGCTTCTGAAATATTACGGAAATGTTTGTAAAATCTTTCAGTGATGTTGGTGCAACGTCCTCTTTAGTTTCATTTGCAACATTGCAGAAATGTAAAAAAAAAAATGTAGATATGAGAGCAAAACTAGGCAAAATATCATTTAAGTATTTAAAATACAAAATACTGTCAATTTTAATCAGTATTTGAATTACAGAGTACAAAATATTTTCAACCTTTTGATTTGAAATATAAATTATTTCGAATCAAAAGACTGAAAGTAATTTGTACTTTATGATTCAAATACTAATTAATATAATTGACCATATTTAGCATTTCGTACTTTAAATATTTTAATGATGTATTTTGCCCAGCCTCGGGTGCGCGCGCACGATAATAAATATTGTTGATAAAAAAGCAAATGTTTTATTAAACCGCAATACTCTTATTCTTATGTTATTAAGTCACAATAGATTTTTTTAAATAATATATTATTAAATCACAATATCTCACGCATAACTATCTTTGAACAAGACCTTGTTTTAAAACGGAAAAATAAAAATGAGGAGAAATCTTTGAAGCTTATTTTATTCGCTTTGCCTTTGGCTGTGTATATATAATATATTAAAGCTCTATATAATATATTAAATTAATAAAATATATTAAAATATGTAACCATAAAAATAAAATTTTTTGGGATATTCTTTTTCTCTTTCTTCTTCCTCTCACTAAGCATCTTATTTACTAAAAGATTAATATTCTTATCTATATTGCACACGTGCGTGCGTTCGTGCGTGTGTGTGAGCATGATTGATCGATTGAATAAAGCTGTATCTGTATTTATTAATTGGGGATTTCAGAAATCTCTCAGAAAAAAAAAACTTTGCATTTACAACGTTGAAAGAACTATACATTACAGGAACATTTCATAAGGCATAAGGTTTTAAATCAATGTAATTGCAGAAATATTGCAATTGTAATATTTCAAAGAAGATAGTCGAAATATTACAAATAAGATGAGACATTGGAAGGTCCCTGCAACACAATTGAAACCTTCGATGCTATCAGGGTATATTTTAACAAAGATCTTTTTTCTTAAGAAAAATTCTTCCTTCGCTTGAATCAAGTTTCATATTTACTTGTAAGGAAAAGTTTACGGTTATCTTAACACAAAAAATAATTTTTTTGTTTTTATTACTTTTTATTTTTCCAGTTCAATTTATATTTTTACTGTTTCGCATATCTATATTCTGTCTAATTAACTATAATTAATTGAAAACCGTATCGCATTGACGGCAAAACTTAAACCTACGATCCCTAGAACGGTAAGCTTAATACATTTACGCTGAGCTAATCGCACGTTTGTGATCGAGTCATTACCAATGGTATACCTCCCTATTGTAACTATTCTTAATTTTATAATGACAGTTTAATATTATTAATATTTGAAGAAATTATATGAAAACGAAATAATACGCTGATATTTATTAATTCAAAATAATTAAGATAAATATTATATAAGAAAACATTATAGAACAATATAAAATCATGTTTACAATTTGTTTTCAAAATAAATATTTATTTGAATTAAAAATATGAATTTATTTCAAACAAGAAAAAAATTTCTTGTTTCTAAATTATATTTCGCTTTTCCTAAATCTGTTGTTTAGAATTGGAAGAAAAGTACCAAATTTTTCTAACCTAATAAATTTTCTTACATCATTATATTATTAAATATTCAAATTAATCAAATCTGACTTTTCTTCGATAAAATTTTATAATATACTTCAAAAAAGAATAAATTTTTATTTTGAGTATATGACACTGAGTATTTCTAAAACTTGTGATGAATACATTTTAAGACTAGTAGCGAGAAAATATTCTTTACTGAAAGTAACCGTTACTTAAAAGAAGAAAAATAAAATGAATAATTACTTTTTTTAACAATAGAATGATATTTTTCTGTGTGTAGGAATAACGAAATTATAATTTTCTTGGAAATAATGAATGGTTATTAAATCATGAATTGTTGCATTGTGATTATTAATTTGACGAGTTTTTGCTAAATAATAATATAAATAGTATTTACCGAGCTTTTTCGTCCATTCAGATAACATGTTTTGTAAGAGACTCATGATAGACAATTGCACTATGTCGATCTTATGAATTGCTATCTTTGTTTAAAGAAAAATACCCTATAACTATCATTCGTTGAGGAGAAACTACTATTGAAGTGACAGTTGAAATCGATTATGCGTAATCATCTAGCACGCACCTTTGTATTTATATCGTGAGCTACTTTGCACTTTGCTCTTAGTTCCACATGAGAGTATCTGACTAAAATGTGATCTTATAACCTCGATGTATTGATATTACCATAATGTGACCTACCTATATGTTAATTACAATCGATGGAACAATAGGTTACTATTGATATTACCATAATGTGACCTACCTATATGTTAATTACAATCGATGCAACAATATGTTACTTGTAAGTGGCGCGCAAATTCTTCTAAAGTATTATTTAATAAGTGATATACAAATAATATACATTTCGGTCAATTATCATTAGAAAATTGACCGTCAAAGAGCGTTGACGACACTATTTTGTTTTAATTTAGTGTAACGATCTGACGATTTCCACCATTAATTATAGATAGTCCAGTAGAATTAGCGTTTTTTCGCGGAAAAATTGTAAACAGGCATCTCTCTCGACAGAAATGTTCGGAAGGCCATCAGAAAAGGAATGTATACGTTTGAGACTCGCAACTCGTGTGGGAAATATGCGAAAAAAATTTGAATAGTTGCAAAAAGCAGGTTTTTCGCTTATAAAACAAAAGTTGTCGATTGTATGGAAAGAAGTTCAGTATAAAAAATACAGGTATTCGAAATACCTACAAAATGAGATGTGGAACATTAAGATCGGTCTATTAATTTAGTAGAAAAAAAATAAAAACCACCGGAAAAGGCCTTTTTTCACTCGCTCTTTGTTCGTCGAGATTTAAACGAAAAGTTTGAAATTCTCGTAAAATGCAGCCCTCGTGATGACGAACAAATCTAGACCTGAACGAGCCTTAAATGTTCATTGGTTTTTGCAAAAAGCCATTTGTTCACTAAAAACTTGTCTGCGGAAAACTTAATTTCTTCATCTTTGAGCAGTCGCATAGCAATTTGCAGGAGTGCTTTTCTTTCTTCAAGAGTTGCACTATCACGTACACTTAGTAACAAAACGATTTTTTGCAGTTAAACTATTTTAAAACGATTTTAAAAAGTATTTTTTTTTTGTATAATAAAATGGAATAATTCCGTAAATATGCATTATATCAAATAGCCGTGTGAAGCATTCGATAGCTGACATTTTCCTACGAATTTAAAAAAAAAGTTACCGTTCGATTATTAGGAGCCGAGATAACCATTTTCTTCAAAAAATCACTGCGGCTCTAATTTTTAAGATTAAGAGTTCTTTCTGGTACCAATTTATTAAGAAAAATTTGAATTTGCTGTTAAAAAATTGTCGAAATGTTTGCTGCCGAAAAAATTTATTTAAAACTATTGGAAAGTTGAGGAACGCGAACGAGGCAGCGCGCCAGGCGGAGTGGGGGAAGCCGCCGCGCCGCGCGGTATTTTGGGGCAGGCCGGGCCGCGCGCTCGGCGACTCGCGCGTACCTGATTTCGTGGGTTAAAATTTGCTAAACTTACATTTTCTCGGCAATAAATTGACGTAGAAAGACGATTTTTTTTTAATTTGGGGTAGCTCGACGAGATACACACAAATAGCTCAGCCAAATGTTTCGCAAAGTAATTCTAACCACGAAATTTTTAGTTTATCGTTTCATGAATTTTTATTTTCTTAGTTTATATTAATAAAAAACCCCTTTTGAGGATGGAGTGCATGTCTGACTAACATTTTTGTTTTTTACGTATTTTGTTTATGTAAATTTCTTTATGTTATGTAATCGTTCTATTGAGAAGAACCCCAATCTGGATTAAAACGTACAGTAAAGAGTTAATAAATTAGATGACAAATATATTTAATTATATGGCACATTAATATCTTGTTGCGTGGCCGTAAAGGTTTATTTTGATTTATGATCGATATCGTGAGAGCTTACATATAATATATATTATTAAAATCTTTGAAGGGCCATGGAAAGTATATGTAAGTATAGGTAGGTATATGTATTGTAAAATTCTAAGAGTTGTTTGATTAATTATATAAATAGTTGTATTTAAATCTACATTTCAGTGTACACTTGAAAAATATATATTTCGAATGTAATTGTCAATTGTTAAAATTCTACGTAGCTAAGAACAAAAAGATCTGCACAAGTCAAATTCATACAATAAAAATATTAACGCTTTTAAAATTATATTTAATAAGTCGCAATGTTCTATTGAGGACATGTTTTGTATTCTTCGCTATTTTAATTTCCGCTTTTTACTTCCCCGATTTTCTTCTATGTGCGGTTCGACTGTCATAGGTTCATATTCTTTTTCGTTTTCCTCTTCTTGTTGTTCTTCGAGTTCCATCGTTTATGATTCTTCTGGTTCATTAATAGTTATTTTTTCAGATTCATCAATAATTGTTTCTTGTGTGATATCAAGGTCAATATCAAGGTTAATGGCAGATTTCTGGTTTATAGGAATTTCTAAAAAATCTTCAATATTAGAGCAGGATTCACCGTGACAATTGACACAGAGATATGAGCAACGCAAACCATGTTTCCTGCAATTGCATGTTTGTCCATTACAACCTGTTTCACATCTGCATATTATTTTCTTTATTAGTTCGTCAGGAATGAGCGTATCTTCTGTATATTTTGGCTGAAGACCATGAACGAATATCTTCCAGCCCCACTGCGTTGCTTCATTTTTATGTCCAAGCCATTGTTGTACTTGCAGGTATGTTCTTAAAGAATGTTCCTTAGCAGCTGCTTCGGTAGGAGGTAACGATTCTAACTTAATTGATGTTCTTAATGTTGATTTTACAAAATGTGAATAACGCAATTCATTGAGATTACCTTGTTTTTTTTTCGTACTGTACATGCGAGCAATAATTTCACAACCATTTTTGGCAATTTCCAATGGATTAGCATTTGTATCATAAAAATGTTTTAGCTAAAATCTGTAATTGAGGTTTCTCAAGTAACGTCTTTATATATTACCTTTTTTTTCCCTACTTTTAGAAACAAGATGTGATATCACAACCGGTGAATGCATGTAAAAAGGCTACTAAATATTTTAATTCAGAATGTTTAAAACTATTATTGGTGTAAATTTGTCCTCATATTTTTCCTCTGTTTGGTTTTCAAATAAAAAATATTTGAATTTTCTGGTGCTAATTGTGTTAGTATTACTAACAAATCTATGTCTTCTCCTATAATAATAATAACATTATCTGCGATAGAAACATTAATTGCAGTCTCAATAATCGAGAAATCGGCGTCTTCTTCTACTGTTTTTGTTTTACAACTAGCTTTATTAGGTTCTTCACATAACAGAACAATTAAACGTTTTTTATTTTTGTCATTTGCTAAAACTTTTTCTTGAGAAAATGATATTTTTGTGTTTCTATCGAAACTGATTTCACGGCGTGAGTTTTTATTTTGTCGGCGTAATCTTTCGACATATTTTAAACTATTTGAAACATCATCCGGATAGCCATAGAAAACAATGTAACAATTTTTTGAATAATGTTTCAATACGTATTCAACGTATTGCTTCAAGATATTATCGACACTACTATTTACATGCCAAACGACTCTATGAAGAAGAAATCCTCCATCAACAACGTATGTTAAATAATGTTGCTAGAAGAAGGTACTTGTGGAATGCTATCAAAATTATTGTAAAAAACAGATTTTCGCATTTTCCGCATACCGTTTTCATCAAAAAGTGAAAGAGGATATGGTGCAAGTTCGTATATGTAAAGAAATTTTTCATATCCTGCTTTGTTTCAATGTTTAACGTGAGGCGCTGAAAAATTAATATTGGATCAGTCGTAATGATTCCATTACTTATTTTTACTGATGACGTAACCGCTATGAGCGACAATACGTTTTTTTTCCTTGGAATTTTAACCGATCCAAAGTATTTGCCAATGATTGAATTCAAAGAAGAAATGCCTATTTCTAACGCTTTATAACTATTTATAGTGCTATTACCAATAATGCTAGTAGTAATAGAAATTATGATTTCTGTAACGGTATGTGGATCATGATTTTTAAAAAACTCAAACAATTTTTATTTGAAACATAGGAAAAATATGTGCACAAATTTACATCAATAATAGTTTTAAACATTCTGAATTAAAATCTTTAGTAGCCTTTTTACATGCATTCACCGGTTGTGATATCACATCTTGTTTCTAAAAGCAGCGAAAAAAAAGGTAATATATAAAGACGTTACTTGAGAAACCTCAATTACAGATTTTAGCTAAAACATTTTTATGATACAAATGCTAATCCATTGGAAATTGCCAAAAATGGTTGTGAAATTATTGCTCGCATGTACAGTACGAAAAAAAAACAAGGTAATCTCAATGAATTGCGTTATTCACATTTTGTAAAATCAACATTAAGAACATCAATTAAGTTAGAATCGTTACCTCCTACCGAAGCAGCTGCTAAGGAACATTCTTTAAGAACATACCTGCAAGTACAACAATGGCTTGGACATAAAAATGAAGCAACGCAGTGGGGCTGGAAGATATTCGTTCATGGTCTTCAGCCAAAATATACAGAAGATACGCTCATTCCTGACGAACTAATAAAGAAAATAATATGCAGATGTGAAACAGGTTGTAATGGACAAACATGCAATTGCAGGAAACATGGTTTGCGTTGCTCATATCTCTGTGTCAATTGTCACGGTGAATCCTGCTCTAATATTGAAGATTTTTTAGAAATTCCTATAAACCAGAAATCTGCCATTAACCTTGATATTGACCTTGATATCACACAAGAAACAATTATTGATGAATCTGAAAAAATAACTATTAATGAACCAGAAGAATCATAAACGATGGAACTCGAAGAACAACAAGAAGAGGAAAACGAAAAAGAATATGAACCTATGACAGTCGAACCGCACATAGAAGAAAATCGGGGAAGTAAAAAGCGGAAATTAAAATAGCGAAGAATACAAAACATGTCCTCAATAGAACATTACGACTTATGAAATATAATTTTAAAAGCGTTAATATTTTTATTGTATGAATTTGACTTTTGCAGATCTTTTTGTTCTTATAGCTACGTCAATTTTAACAATTGACAATTACATTCGAAATATATATTTTTCAAGTGTACACTGAAATGTAGATTTAAATACAACTATTTATATAATTAATCAAACAACTCTTAGAATTTTACAATACATATACCTACCTATACTTACATATACTTTCCATGGCCCTTCAAATATTTTAATAATATATATTATATGTAAGCTCTCACGATATCGATCATAAATCAAAATAAACCTTTAGAGCCACGCAACAAGATATTAATGTGCAATATAATTAAATATATTTGTCATCTAATTTATTAACTCTTTACTGTACGTTTTAATCCAGATTGGGGTTCTTCTCAATAGAACGATTACATAACATAAAGAAATTTACATAAACAAAATACGTAAAAAACAAAAATGTTAGTCAGACATGCACTCCATCCTCAAAAGGGGTTTTTTATTAATATAAACTAAGAAAATAAAAATTCATGAAACGATAAACTAAAAATTTCGTGGTTAGAATTACTTTGCGAAACATTTGGCTGAGCTATTTGTGTGTATCTCGTCGAGCTACCCCAAATTAAAAAAAAATCGTCTTTCTACGTCAATTTATTGCCGAGAAAATGTAAGTTTAGCAAATTTTAACCCACGAAATCAGGTACGCGCGAGTCGCCGAGCGCGCGGCCCGGCCTGCCCCAAAATACCGCGCGGCGCGGCGGCTTCCCCCACTCCGCCTGGCGCGCTGCCTCGTTCGCGTTCCTCAATTTTCCAATAGTTTTAAATAAATTTTTTCGGCAACAAACATTTCGACAATTTTTTAACAGCAAATTCAAATTTTTCTTAATAAATTGGTACCAGAAAGAACTCTTAATCTTAAAAATTAGAGCCGCAGTGATTTTTTGAAGAAAATGGTTATCTCGGCTCCTAATAATCGAACGGTAACTTTTTTTTTAAATTCGTAGGAAAATGTCAGCTATCGAATGCTTCACACGGCTATTTGATATAATGCATATTTACGGAATTATTCCATTTTATTATACAAAAAAAAATACTTTTTAAAATCGTTTTAAAATAGTTTAACTGCAAAAAATTGTTTTGTTACTAAGTGTACGTGATAGTGCAACTCTTGAAGAAAGAAAAGCACTCCTGCAGATTGCTATGCGACTGCTCAATGATGAAGAAATTAAGTTTTCCGCAGACAAGTTTTTAGTGAACAAATGGCTTTTTGCAAAAACTAATGAACATTTAAGGCTC